CTCCTCCATTATGGGGAAAGAACTTCATCTCTTTCTGCCCGTTGAGACAAACATTTCCCCTTCTCCCTCATTTTTTTGAATTGAAATCAGGGATGAGCTGTGAGTCCTCTCCCTTCAATAGGTAAATTGCTTTCCCCCACTCCTACCAAGTTCTTCCTAACCTGGAAGCAGACCACTGACCCTGCTTGGAAAAAGACCAGGAGCTTCACCAGGGAGGGTGAGTGTCCAGCCCAGGGATCAGCCAGAGGAGGAAGAAGGAGCCACTTGGTGGCAGCAAGTTCAGAGAAAACATCCTAAGATGTCTCACCTCCTAGGCACTCTGCTCTGCCCATGCATAAGGAACTCCCTGAGGAGTGATCTCTTGCGAAAAATCCTGGGAAAATTCCTGAACTGGGGCTGCTCTTCCCTTGATGCAACGTGGAGCTCAACTGCTGACTGACTGCAGGCAAGCAGAGCTGCTTCTCTCTGAGCAAGTCTTATCCCAACTTACCACTGTAACATGCTACACTGATTTCTCTCTGGAGCATGACCTGTTCTAATCTCTGAACTCTGATGCTAATTTTTGTTCATATGTTCTTAGCTAAACTCTGGATAAATTTACTCAAAACAGTTGCCAGAGTCTAGACAGACCTTACATTCATGTTTCGGATGGCACTTCCATGCTTGGAGGCCACAAATAAAGCAGACCCGATTTCTCAGATCAGAGTAGTGCTAAGAAAAACCTTTCGGTGTTCTCCAGATGTTACATAGTTGAAAGCTCAGCTACATTTTCTGTCAGATGACTGCAAAAACATGCACTGTGTCTCACCATAACTATAAAGCAGCCATACCTCATTTTTCTGAAGAGAAATTTGGATGATGCTTATCTTTTCCCCTGCAACAAAGATCACTTCAATTTTATCTGGGCACTTTGGGACACCAGATCTCCTAAATGATGTTACCTAAGGTGTCAGACAAAGACAGAAAAATGGCTTCTCAAGAGCACTTTTTAATATTCATAGCTTTAGGAGATCTCTTCTCTTTGAAGGGGATGCTGGTTAGGGCCTTGGTGTTTGTAAATAAAATAAGGTTCTCAAACCTCACATAAATTTCTCCACATAGCTAGTCGTATTCCTCCTCCTGTTCTGTATTGACATCATTCACCAAATACTTAGTCTATCCTTATGCTAAAGAATCAACCACTTGGGTTCCTTATTCCACTGTACAAAGTTTGTCACAAAATAAGGTAAAACAACATCTCTAACATGGAACTGGAAAAGAACAAGTGTGCTGTGGGCTTTGTATAATCTTGATTTGTTTAGTTTATTGTGTGTCTCAGGTCACTTCTCTTAGGGCATTTATTGAATTAGCTGGTGCTTTTGCAAAGATCAGCTGTGAAGTATTATCACTGTTAATATTCACTGTATGTCTACATTGCAGGTTGTGTGGTGTAGACATTTCCATGCCAGACTGTTTCTGATATTCTTTTCTATGATGGGGATGGTTCTAAAATCTGAATGCAGCATTGCAGCTTACAGTATAGCTGTACCTGAACAATTTATATTATCAGAGATCCTTGTAGAACATAAGGTTTGAAGTGTGTTGTCTTTTAAAAGAAAGATGGAAATCTGGAGCAAAGCTTGATGATCAGAGATTAAATCATTGCAAGTTCTGGATGCAGAACATGAAACCTTTGTTACCAATAGCTTGGACTTGAGAGCTAGTCATCCTTCAAGTGAGGTATTTGGGCTCTGAAGATGAAACATTGCTGTAGACACTTTCAAAGCATGTGGAAGCCTGGTGCTGCCTAAGTGCATGTCTTTTCAGCTATGCTGAAGGTCCTGTCTGCTTCGGGTCAGTCAGCTCTAGTGCCATGAGCAGCACGCCCTAACTCTCTTCAGTTCAAATAGGTCCCAAAGCTTAGGCAATGTAAATAATGGATCCTTGCAAATATAGTTTGTCTGTGCTGAACTGGATACCTGCAGGCATGGTGAGCTGCTCTGCCAGCAGCTCTGAGGGTGAGTAACTCAATGCTTTTGCTGTGCCCTTTGCTGCTGTTGTGTGCTAGAGCGGAGCTTCCCTACCCTGCTTGTTTCTGGCAATTCCCTACAGGCCATCCCTTGAGAGGGATTTGGGGGTCTTCAAATTAAATGGTTAAATTATGTGGGTTTTTTTTCTTATAAGTAATGAATTAAAGAAGGAAAGCAGTGATTCTTCACAGGAGAGTTCCTGTCACTCATGTAAGTTGTCAGCACACCACATTACCCAGGTAGAACAAGTAAACTCAGTGGTTTTGATTTCTTGGTGCTGTTTTCTGAACTGCTGACAATGCTCTGGGAATAACAGGATGTGATGGGGGCAGAATAGCAAAGAGGGCTTGGCAGCATGTCTTGCATGAGTGAGAAAGCAATACTGAGAGCTTGGAAGTCTCCTCTCCAAGAGCTCATCGATGACAGAGGGCAGCCACCAGTGCACAGTCAGCTTTCAAGGCTTGTGCATAAGATGCTTCCAGTGACAAGGGTCAGCTGGATGCAGGCAGCTGCCCACTGAACTGTGCTGTGGACAGTTCCTCCCTACCCTGTATGTACAGAAGTTAAGTGCCAACACAGCCTGAAATCTCTCCTGGCACATTCCTCTGGGCCATGATTGCAGCTCTGAAACACAGCAAGACCATATTGCACTGCTCCCTCGATCACCTGGCAGTGCTTTGCACCTGCTTAGCGTAGGGGTTGATGGCTGTTGCTGGCAGGCGGGACCAGAACCAGTACTGTAGCATGGACAAGATGATGGGATTCATTAACAGATGCCAAATGTTAGACTGCACTTGCAAAACTGAAGTTTCACAGGGAAATGCTGTGAAAATATGATTCCTCTGGCCCATGTCCTGCATAGGGAATAAAGTGCAGGGTGTCATTCCTCAGAAGATGGTATCTGCTCTGGAAAGGGAAGCATGCTCAAAATGGTGTCCTTGTGGAATCTGAAGAGTCTGGGAGCTGTTTTTTTTCTGAGCAGAAAAAGGAGATGCTGGGCTGACCCTGCAGGGGACTTGTCAACTGTTAGAGGCTTGGCTGAGGCTGAGATGCTTGTGCAGTGGGGATCTCCATTAGGATAGTTGAAAGTTGAGTAATGTGGTGTGAGGAGGCAATGGTTACTGCATGGCAGCTTATAGGGTGTGCTAGCAGGGCGGGGGGGGGCAATGCAGGAAGAATGGCTGCAGTGGAAGCGGGAAGCAGCATGCTTGGAAAGGCAGGAGGAGGCAGTCTGCTTAATTCAAGAGTTGGGGCAGAGGATTTTCTCCTGTTTCACGCTTATTTCTCCACTGCTGTTCGTAATTTGCTTTTATGCAGTGAATTTCACCAAATGGTGAGAAAAGATTAAGAAGAAATCAAGCAAAGTCTGGTATGATCTACACAGCGGTGAAAGAGGAGACAGTCTATGGGGCTAGCTGTGCTGTCACGTGGACATGAACACATCTTACTCTCCATCTTTCCTTTTTCTGAATCCTTGGTACAGCTCCTTTGCCTCTCTTCACGTACCTCTGCAACCCAGGCAGCTGCTGGATCCAAATGCATGTAGGAGAGCAGATGCACTTCTTTTGGGAAAGAGATTGAAAGTAGTGGGAGCCCAGCTTCCACAGGTTACTCATACCACTGGAATAGGTTTGGACTGGGCAGCTTGGACTAATTATGTTTTTGTTGATCCCTTGGAGGACTTTGTTTTTGCCTTAAAGTCTCAAACTTCCCCTAGCCACTGACTATTATCAGCTGGCCTGGGAAGCTATGGTGGTTGACAGGTCATTAGGAAAGGTACCTAGGAGGATGTGAGATGCTTTCTAACATCTTTCTGTATCGGGAGTGCAGTGTGCTTTGCAGGGAGGTTGGTATAGAGCAGTCCTCTGCTCTAGGAAGTGGTGGTTCTAGAAATAGCATTCTGCCCTGAGTGCTAGCACGTACAAGTCTGATGGATGAATTTTACACCGTACTGTACTTCAGGAAACAAGCAGTGTGCAGGTAAACCTGAAAGGGCAATTTAGTAGGGCAAATTGTAAATACATTTAGAGGAATTTGATCAGGAGGAAGGTAGGGCAAAAAGTTATTTAGAAGCCTTGTTGACATTTTCTGTACTATAATGCAAATCCCCTAATCCCCTCATCAGGTGCCTTGGAAGCACCCACATTTTCTAAGCATTTGTCTTCACTGCTAAGTTTTATTGCTATCTCCTCCTGCTCTCACAAGCTACCTTTAAGCTGTAGCTGCACAGCAGCTGCACTGTGCCTAAATGAAGCTTGTTTTCTCAAGCTGGATGGTCCATTGCTTAAGCTGCCCTCAGGGCTGGATTCAGTGAGCTTTTTACTGCTGTAGCTTTGGCAGTGCCCTGTAATGGGGAATTGTATCATCGTTGACACTCCACTGCCATGCTTGCCCTCTTGCAGGGCTTGAAAGGCCTCAAGGCTGTGGTGCTGGCCCAGGTGCCCAGTTCTTGTGCCAGTGTGTGACTGCTGTGTGGCTGTGTGTAGCAGCAATGGGAACGGGTGCTTGGGCAGCTCCATCGTCAGCCCGAGAGCCTTGCTCCTGTGAACCACACCAGCTTCAGTACGACATGTGCTCATCTCCATGCCATGGGGTGCCACGGTGGATTGGCTGGCTACTTCCCCTACATACACGAGTACCGCGTGGTGCTGGGGCCAGCGAGGACAGGGACCCGGGCTGGCGGTGTAGGAGGGCAGATTGCTGTGCTACCCGCGTCCCAGCAGCTGCCCCCCTGGGGCTGAGCCCGTGTCACCTGCGCCCCGCCACGTGGGCCCTGCCGCCCCCTCCCCGCTTCGGCTGCAGCGCTGAGCGTACCCTCAGCTGCATCTCGCCGGCAGCCTGCCCCGGCTCCCCGCGCCGGCCAGACCGGGAGGAGGAGGAGCAGAAGGAGGCGCGGAGCCCTCCGCCCCCTGCGGCGGAGCGGGCGAGGCGTTAGGACCCGGCGGCGGCGGCTGGGCGGTGCGGGGCCGGGACCGGAGCGGTGCGGGGAGGGGGGGAGCGGCGCCGCCGCCACCGCCTCCTTCTCCTCTCCTTCCTCCCACAGCCGCCCCTGCCCGTCGAGGCAGCGCTCCCAGGCTCCCCTGGGGCGCTCGGCATGAGGAGAATCAGGGCCAATGCCATCGCCATCCTGACCGTCGCCTGGATCCTGGGCACTTTTTACTACTTATGGCAGGACAACAAACCCCGCTCGGCGGCCGCCGGCAGGTCCGCCGGCGGCGGTAGCGGCGGCGCCCGGAGCGGGCAGAGGACGGCCGGCAGGCTGGAGCTCCGCCGGGAGGAGAAGACCATCCCCCTCATCGTGAGTGAGCGGCGGCCGCCGGCATCCCGTCCGGCCGCGGCGGGGAGGGATGCTCGGGGAGGGAGCCGCCGCGGCGGGCGCGGGGTGAGCTGGCGAAGGGCTGCGCTTTGCCTTCGGGTTGTTTTCTGTTTATTTTAGCGTTCGCGCTTGTCACCATGGCAGCCGCTACAATGGGGGAGCAGGGTGGGCACGCTCAGGGAACAGAGTAATGTCGTGGGTAAAGTGTTTGCGAGTTGTCTCCGCCGCTATCACTCAACCCGGGCTCTGCTCCTCCAGCTGAGAACGACTGCCCTTGGCCGGGGAAAAGGGCGGGTGAAACAGCTGGAAGGTTTTTGGTTCGCGTTCAGAAGGCGCATACATACACATATGTATACACACAGGCATGTATGTGATCACAGTGCTTTGCCGTCAGGACCAGCCAAGAGCCGTGACCTCTCACAAGCCCATCCTCCGGCCAGTTGGGCTCTGAGCATCGGGCAGGGGGATACGAATGGCATTACAGTGGGGGATTGTGCAACCCGTACCAGCCTCTGCCCCGGCCCCCTCCGCTTGGAGAACCTGGACACCACTCGTGAGTTTTGTCTCTTTTAAGCCAGAGACAGTAGCCTGTGAGTCGGGCTCAAGCTAGAGTCTGGGCAGGGTGGTAGTTGGACGGGAGCCCTCAGGCCTCCTTCCTATCCTTAGGGGTGGTAGCAGTGCCCTCACGTGCTACTTCAGTTTTGTTGAGAGCTGCACACTCTGCCTTCCCTGGGTATCTCTGGGCTCAGTAAGGTGATAAAATCAAGCTCCTGACTTAAGGATGATGAGAATCTTTCTGCTCTGTCTATGGAGGTGATTTGTCCTCCCTTCAGCCTGTATAACAGCATCAATAAAGCTCTTCCAACTCTAGGCAATAGCTTCATAAAAAATAAACCAGCCCCTGGAGCAAAAAGTGGCCCAGCAATACTATTCCTGGGAGCTGAAGCAGTTTGGGAACTGCACTGTTTGTCACTCTTTGGCTGCAAATCCATTTGTCAGCTGGTTATGCACACATGGAAGTGAACAAAAGCAGCAGCCTGGTCAGAGTTGGGGCAGGGACCGGGCACTGGGGCTCTCCACTTCCTCCCTTGACTGGCACTGGGGTTTTTGGCCTGTGTCTCTCTTTTTGCCAGCTGTAAAGTGGGAGTGGAAGATATGTGTATGAGTATTTGGAAAGCCTTATGAATGTTTGGAAAATGCTGTCAGAACACTCCCAGCCTTCAGACAGCAGGGTGGAAACCCTTCAGCTGAGACCCTTGGCTATTGCTTGCAGGTGCCAAAACTCAAAAGTCAAAACTGAGGCTCATGGGCAGAGTAAGGATGTTATTTCCTGCTTGCTAGGGCCATGGGCTTCCAGCAGTTCAAGCTGCTCTGCTGTGCATCTCTATGGATCTCTGTGCTTCCTCCTCTATGGAGCAGGACTGTGGAGATTAGTACAGTGCGAATGCTGTTATTGCTGTAGCCCTTTGGGCACTCAGGAAAATGCTCTCAGGCTGGCCAGAGCTGAGTTGAATAAACAGAAGATTTAGAGCACTCTTGTCTTTTTGATTCCACCTTAGTGTCAGAGGAAGCTGCCCCTGAGCCCCTGATTTCTTGTGTGTGCTTGAACAAGCTGCTCTGGCAGTTTTATTCTTCCATTTTACCGCTTATCCCTTCTGGGGTTTTATAGCGTTTACTTTACTCCCTCTCAGAGGGCTTGTGAGGTTGCCCGAGTCCATATTATCTGCCAAGCACCTTAAAATCCTCAAGAGGAGGATGCTGTGGCAGCGCCACACATTGTTATATTGCTGCTGTTTGGGGAGAGGCAGTATGTGCTCGTGGCTAACCACAAAGCCTCTCCTTACAAGATGTAGCGCCGCGCAACAGCCACTCCAGATCTGGTCCTGTTCTCAAAACGATGTAAAGCATCCCAGCTCTGCTCCATGCCTGAAATCCCTCAGCAAGGAAAAATATTTGTCCTTTGCCTCTCCTCTCCCTTTGTCACTGGAATCCCAGGATGTGCCAGCCCCCTCCAGTATGTCCTGACCCCCTGGCAGGCAGCAGCAGAGATGAAGGAGGACCCTCTCCTGATGCACCTGACAGTGGGGCATGGTGGAAATATGACATTCTGACCTGCCACGATCCATTTACATAGAGAAGAGAAACAGGAGGGGTTTGTAGTATTTGGGCTTCCCCTCATGCATGCAGAGTGGTTTCCCTAGGGTTTGGTGGGTTGCTGTGAGAGTCAATCTGGTAAAATACAATATGTGTGCTCCTGTAACTATGCAATGCCATGGCTATGGAGAACTTGATGTGCTTCACTGTGATGCACATAATGAGCCAACTGGGCCATGGTGTCTGCCTGAGCTGCTGGGGCCAGAATCAGGGAAGCGACTGTAGGTGGGCACAGGGTGGGAAGGTTGGCAGGGGTCTGGGGATAACCCCCGCAGGAGGTGGCATCTAGCCGAGTCTGAGCAGTTGGTCCTGTGGCCGAGTTAGCTGCGTGAGCCTGCAGGGCTGGTTACACCAGGGCTGTAGCAGTGCATGTGGCCCTCAGCATGGCCCGGCTTCATCTGACTGCACGACATGTGGGCTGCGGCAAGGCCCACTGCCCTGTCCCAGCCAACATGGAAAATGTACCACTTCAATTGCTCTGCTGGAGAAATAACGAATCTAGAGAAGCAACTGTCCTTTGGCAGTGTAGAGCCCTCAACCCTGAGTTAATTCCCATCAAAGTTAGGTCACCTGACTTAATGTGTAATGGCAGTCTTGTGTAAGGGGAGGCGTGCCTGTGCTCTGCCTGCTTCTTGTATCCCTGAGTAGCCACTGAGACAAACTGTCCATTTTTAACCAGTTTTGGTTTCCTCTTCTCCTCATGAGTGATGGTTTTGGAGTTCAGGTTTGGGCTCATCTGCAAATAAGAGTGACTTGTGACTTATGGGTCTATGGAAAATATTTTTTCAGTTTTTTAAAACTGGCTGCTCTTTTGTCTGGGAAAAAGGAAAAAATCTTTCTTTTGGATGAGTGTGTCCAAGAGTTCTGCTCTTGTATCTATGCTATGACATTTCAAATCCTTGGCAAATGAAGGTGCATTGCATGGGTTTAAAAATTGAAGTACTTTCTGGGCTTGTAGTTTTCTTTGTTCTCTCTCAATGTGAAGAATAAAAATCACCTCAGGTAAACACTGTAGTTGATTGCAAGTCTCAGCTTGAAACTGATGTTTTACTTGTTGACCTCGTGTTTACTAGCACAACTTTAAACTTGAAATCTGGTTGTCTGATTCCCGGAGTCAGCAAGGGAAATCTTTGAATATTTAAGTTGGGACATGGGGCTATCAGAAATCAGTGTCTCAGAAGCAGCTCGTGCATTGAAAGTGATCCTACAGATCTCTGCTTTATACATAGAAATCTTGACATGTGGTCTCTCTGCAATAGTGTTGAAACAAACAGGCCCTAGAGATGCCTGAAATAAAAATTCAGAAATTGGTAAATGTCAGGGCTGACTTGGTGACACACTGAGCCCCTGCATGTTTCCCCTTCCACTTGCCATGGAGGGTGGAAACACAAGTGAGTACCACAGTCGTAGGAATGCATTTTTATTTTGGAGCACAGCTCTGGCAGTTGGTTTGTGTGTGGAGTGTTTCCGAAGGATAGACTTCTTCCCTGAGCTCTTTTCTGTCCCTCCCAGGCAAAAAGTTGTCCTGTTCTCCAGGAAATTTCCAAGGACCAGAAGTTGTGCAGTGTGTCTTCGGAAGGGTTTTGGCATCATTCTCACACTATGTACAGGTGATTAATTGTTCACCTCATACTGCTTGTCTGCTTTAGTATGGCACTGATGGCAGAGCCCATCTGTTCTTCCACCTCTAAAGATTGTGGCATAGGAAGCTCACCCAGCATACTTGTGTCCTACTGAAGAGAGCAAGGCCATTGCTGCCATGTGGGCAAAGCTTGTTAGTGAGAGGGGTGGTTGGTAATAGCTTTGAAAGAGGAGTTTTTCTGTTGGCTGACCGTAAGCTGAGGGTGGGAGTATTTGCTCCCATTTCCCAGTCAAAAGCTGGATGTGAGGCTGCCCATGGGCTTCTCCATCTTGCTCACTTCTCTGGGGTGTCATGAAAGCAGCAACTCACCTGAAAGATGGAGACAGAAGAGTACTGTTCTTTAAATGCTCTGAATTTTGTTAGGCTAGTGCCCAATTGCTCTTTGGAGCAGATATGATGCCTGTTATCTTTGTCAGTTGCTCTTTGGAGCAGGTATGTTGTCTCTTGTGTTTGTCCTGCCAGCTTTTGTGACCTGTGTATTTCCTCTGTGACCCCACTAGAGCCTGTTTGGCAGGGGAGAGACCCTATATTGTAATGCTGGCTCAGGTTGCCTGGGCTCAGCCTTCCTGGCTGTTCCCTGCCTCATTGCTCATTGCTCATGTAAAATGAGCACTGGGGAGATGAGATCAAGGCGTCCTATTTCCTTATAGCAAAGGCTTTCTAAATGCTCTGCAAAGCATCACTGAACTAAGCATCACCTGCCTGTGGTGAGACAGCGAGCAGGAGACTGCTCTGGGATGCTTTTGCTGAGGTATCTGAAGGCATCGAACAAGTTGGTGAAGAAAGATGTCAGTTGTTTGATTCCCCCATCTTATTTAGCTAGAAAATCAGCAGTGGCTGAGGTTTACCTGCTTCTCTGAGTTGTCAAACTAGCACATTTAAGCACATTTGTATTTGCCACGATGTAAGAGCCCCTTGATATATGCTCTTCAGATGCTGGTACACCTAACTAACTTGGCCAAACAGTGTGCTCTGCTGCATTTGTTTTGTGTTGCCATTGGCTGTGGGTATCTGAATCCTGTGGAGCAGGTGCTGGCTGATGTTCACCGTGTATTCATGAATTATTTTATTCTCATCCCTTCATCATGTTTCCTCTGTGCACAACTTTCAGAGGATGTTGTTTTTCTAACAACTGGGACATCCTGCAACTTTCATGGTTTGGTAAATGATACCATTTTCAAGGACT